TAATACCTGTCTACATGTACTACCTGTTAACACGTACTATAATACCTGTCTACATGTACTACCTGTTTACACGTACTATAATACCTGTCTACATGTACTATCTGTTAACATGTTCTGTAATACCTGTCTACATGTACTACCTGTTAACACGTACTATAATACCTGTCTACATGTACTACATGTACCTGTTTACCCTAGTCACCAAATCATTCCATGTTACCTTGCTCAGAAGTGACTTATTCATGAGCATACAGGTAAATTAGAACACGTGGTTGTATATGTGCTGTTTTATGACTGCTCAACATATAACGCATGTTTGGTAAGACAAGATTGTAATTCTGATGAACATATAATCTCGTGGACCTATTAACTTTAACACAGCGCTATATGCTCTAAGATATAGTTGATATCTTCAAACGATCTGCTAAAGATGAGTATAAAAGATTTCATCTGTTTACACGCCCGGTAACCGTAAAAGATTAAAACCCACCAACAGTGAGAAAGATTTATCTAAAAACCTCACTTGAGCCGTAAAGAAGATTATATGTGGATAATAAGGGGAGTTGTTTTGTAACAGCGCAAGGTATTGGAACAAAAGAGTTCCCATTAATCTCCCAGCGAGCTCAGCTGACATCGTGTCTATTTGTATCTAGCAGTGCCACTCAACTGGAATTTTATTCTGTCGCTATATTTAAGCTAACTTTACCGACAGACAGGTATATAATTTGATAGCCAATTAAAGACCAGATAATGAGATACAGGATACACTGAAATCCAGATAATCAAATAATAGATAGACAAAACGTGAACGGACGCGTTGTAAAAGAATCAAATCAGTATAATTATAATTATTTAAAGCGCACTAAAACAAAGATATATCGCTCTGGTGTTACAAATGTCACTGCAAATGTAGGAAAGCACACGTTTTACGACCTCCTTGTAAAACCCACGTTATTTCCTGCGTGTTGCGTGGTTTTGATTTACACCGTCACCAACTGTGAAGCACAATTATGTCTTGATTGAAGAACTGTGGAATACATTCGTGCATGCTGATCACTTTGATGACGCGTTTATGTCTGTTGTTTTAATATATAGTTATATAGGTTATGGGTCCAAATATAGCTGTAACCAATTATCAGGTCCCTGTGCTTATTACTTGTTTAACAACTGTTCCGACTACATAGGGAATTGTATTAGAACACGAATCTATGCGTCTGTGAGGAGGATACGGACGAAAAGTTTCTGTTTTAGTGATCGGACGAATCAGTGATGTAGCTACACTTGCCTCATTATAAGCAAGAGAACGTTATGGTTTTTAATGAAATTTCAACTTCCGTGTAAGCAAGTTACATGCTTGTCGTCCCACGGACAGTGTCTGTGTCAGGTTTTACCGAACATGGAATCTTCCTGCGTTGACCGAGATGAACCATTAAGCCGTACGTCACTGTTGACCAATGGCAAAAAACACCGTAGACGGTTTCTTCAATATCTGATGAAAATCGAATTTACATTGCTGTTTGTCAACAATGGCGTAGGAATATGTATTTGTATTGCAATATTGTGATTCGGTCTGTATACAGTATATCGTTGCTTACAGTCGGAAACTGTTAAGCTAACCAATTGCATTGCTTCGAACATCACACAGAATTATAGAATTCTGTGTCTAGACATGATTAAATAATCATCAGCTTAAATGTTGGAAAAATAATCAGGATCGGTTTTATTTTATAGGACTTTTTGACGGACAAGATAAATGTTCTGGGTTTACAGAAAACGTCAACGTCAATGACGATGGACCCGATAAAATCGTTAATCATACACACGTTTCTCCCGCGCAGGCCCAAGTCCGTGTTTCCTAATACTTTCCTTTATAATTCTCCATGCTTACTCCGAGATATTTGCGTGTTGAGGCATCGTTACACAACACATTGTTTTCTCTGTACAAATATTCCAACAATATTCTGTGTGTTCCCTGTACAAATATTCCAACACTATTCTGTGTGTTCCCTGTACAAATATTCCAACAATATTCTGTGTGTTCTCTGTACAAATATTCAAACAATATTCTGTGTTCTCTGTACAAATATTCCAGCAACATTGGATCTTAACAAGACATTTATCGATATATTTTTCATCAAAACCAAAACAGTAACAAAATATGAATGCGAATATTTCGGATTCTTGTCGGACAAAAACACGAATACGCACACATGGTGCACGAAGAGTTCAGATTGACGTTCCTTGCCGCGGTTTCATGTCAGTGACCTCGAAATGACCGGGATCTCTAGAAATATAAGCGTATTTCTCTGAAAGCTGAACTATAAACAGAACATGTCAGTCCCTGTGTATAATAACTTACCAGATTGTTCTGTTTTTCACATATGAATGGAGGTTTCGTGTTAATACATTGCGCCGGCCTCTAACACTCGTCTCTCCCTAGACGCAATCTATGGCGTTTATTTCGGAACTTGGAAATTTACATGCATGCAGCCCTCCTTCCCATCTTTCGATGACCTCATGGAATCTTCCCATAAGTACAGCGTGTAGACAGACCTGTGACCGTCAGATTATATATCTAACCTTCACACGGCCATTAACCATCCAAACCCTTATGTGCGGTACCTTCAACACTTGGGAGATGGAGGAGTCGAGTTGCCGATAATATATAGATATATATATAAGATATCTAGACGGGCTACTCTATAAAACAGCACAACGTAAGAGTCGCTATGTATTATAAATCTAACTTACCGATAAAAAGGCAGCGAAGGAATATCTGTACATCGATCTCAGCACGATAACATAATCTCATTATTGGCTTTTAATATTAAGTGACCAATGGGATCTGGTCACTACGTCGAGATACAATGTAGCCGGTCCCACCTAACAGTATTACGCGACGTAAAGTAGATCTTGACCGATAAAATAATCCCGGCATTGACCTCTACTCTTGGACGTAACAAAGGAATCGGGTCTCACCTTCAACAGGAAACCCTAGTTGTTAGGCAAGTTTATTAGTATTCCGCGACACATGAAAAATACACGTAAAACACTAGAACTTATACCGACCGCACGCCATGTGTTCCCCTATCTGGTGACTATGTTGTCTTGAAATGCAGGCTAAACTAGTTTATAGTTTACCTTACTTCGCCCTTATTATACGACCTTGAATTGAGCAGTTTGATACTCTACATCTTTTAGCTGGGTCGAGCGTGATTATATATGATAATATATACGTTTGATTTCCTTAACTAACAAAAAAATGGCTGGGAACAAAAATGTGTTCTCTGTAAATTGTTATATATACTTTCCGAAATACTTCAAAACGAAAATACAGGATAACGTTTGTCAAATCAAAATCTGTTTTAGGTTTTAGTATATATAAACATATCTTGAGAGTTATACCGAATATTTCTATTGTGCAAAATAATTATATGTATAAGTTTGAACCCTACCAAGGACAAAATACCTCGTGTTAACATAAATTAACATACTGTAATTTCGGATTTTTGACACGCATATATAAAAGGAGGTTCCTGCGATACATGTGCATGTGCAGTGCATGTTACGTAATAATGGAACTGTGACGCACACTGCCACCACGAGACAACACAAACGCTGCGATCAACCCAAACATGCGATTACCCCTGACTCATTCACGCGAAAATCCTATCGCACAATGAACACTATAGTAGCCATTGTCGATTTTACAACACAATGGCTAGGCGACAAAATACATAGAACTTTTCAACTTACCTTCAAATAATCACTTAAAATGTCCCGGCAGATGTTTACAATGTGCAACAGACAAGAAATTATTAGTCCAAATGTTCTCACAACCTAAAACTGAGTCAGGAAGAAGGAATAAGCCCTGAATGTTTTCCACCCACGTTTTCGCTACCGGCTGCTAGGGAGCACGTGTTTAGACTGAGCTCTGCACTCCGTCCTTCCATGTATATAAGCCGTGACAGGCGTGCGGACGCTACACACGTGTGGTAACGAAGCACGCGTGAGGTTCAATATTAGGCGCTTGGGGCGCTCTGTTAGAGATTTAAACAAATAAATATCACACTATAAGACATAACTGTAAAGTATATATTTACATTTTATACAAAAACCTCACAGAACATGGCGGATAACATATACATTTAGATAATATATACAACCATTTCGTGTTACTATGGAAACCGTCTGGATCGAAATTATTATAAGTATCTTATCTAGAACAAACTGTCAGATTTTATTTTTGGAATGAACGACGGAGTTTCGAAACGTAGACTAAATAATTTAGGACGGCGAAACCAGTTTACGGTATGGCTATGTAATTACAATAAATTGAATGGACACTACGTGCACATTACCATCGATAAAGCTCTCAAATGTCAACCGCCGTGGTACTCGTATCACACGACATCAGTCATCTACGTACGTACACAGCTTCCGTACTTGAGTATATAGTATACATACTTATATATTATTTTGATGCAGTAATGGGCTCAAGGGCGGATCTAGAAATTCCCTTCCACGTCCTTACTCGCGTGTATAGGACGCGTGTAAGCTGTGAGTTTACTTATACCAACACATACACTCACATACCAACCTAATAATACACAGTAACACACTACACTACACCCGTACACACACATACCACCCTAATTAAACACAGTCCCCCTCCCCCGACCCCCACACACATACCACCCTAATAATACACAGTTATACACTACACTACTCCTTTACACACACATATCACCCTAATAATACACAGTAACACACTACACTATACCCGTACACACACATACCACCCTAATAATACACAGTAACACACTCCACTACCCCCGTACACACACATACCACCCTAATAATACAATAATACACAGTAACACACTACACTACACCCGTACACACACATACCACCCTAATACTAAACAGTTATACACTACACTACTCCTTTACACACACATACCTCCCTAATAATACACAGTAGCACACTACACCACACCCGTACAAACACATACCACCCTGTTAATACACAGTAACACACTACACTACACATTTACACAAACATACCACCCCAATAATACACAGTAACACACTACACTACACCCGTACACACACATACCACCCCAATAATACACAGTCACACACTACACTACACCCGTACACACACATACCTCCCTAATAATACACAGTAGCACACTACACCGCACCCGTACATACACATACCACCCCAATAATACACAGTCACACACTACACTACACCCGTACACACACAACTTCCTAATAATATACAGTTACACACTACACTACACCCATACATATCCCTCCCTAATAATACACACTAATACACTACACGTACACATACCTTACTAATAATACACAGTAACACACTTCAATCCACCCTTACACACACACACCTCCCTAACAATACACAGTAACACACTACACTCCACATTTACACAAACATACCACCCCAATAATACACAGTCACACACTACACTACACCCGTACACACACATACCACCCTAATACTAAACAGTTATACACTACACTACTCCTTTACACACACATATCACCCTAATAATACACAGTAACACACTTCAACAAACTACACTACACAAATACGTACAGTAACACACTACACTACACCCGTACACACACAACTTCCTAATAATATACAGTTACACACTACACTACACCCATACACATACTTCCGTAATAATGCACACTAATACACTACACTACACACTACACCCGTACATACACATACCACCCCAATAATACACAGTAACACACGACACTACACCCGTACACACACATACCACCCCAATAATACACAGTCACACACTACACTACACCCGTACACACACACCTCCCTAATAATATACAGTTACACACTACACTACACCCTTACAAATACCTCCTCCCTAATAATACACAGTGACTCACTACACTACACCCGTACACACACACCTCCCTAATAATATACAGTTACACACTACACTACACCCATACATATACCTCCCTAATAATACACAGTAGCACACTACACCACACCCGTACCAACACATACCACCCCAAAAAAACACAGTAACACACTACACCACACCCGTACAAACACATTCCACCCTGTTAATACACAGTAACACTACACCTTTACACACACATACCACCCTAATACTAAACAGTTATACACTACACTACTCCTTTACACACACATACCTCCCTAATAATATACAGTAACACACTACACTACACCCGTACACACACAACTCCCTAATAATATACAGTTACACACTACACTACACCCATACATATACCTCCCTAATAATACACACTAATACACTACACTACACACTTACACATACATCCCTAATAATACCAGTAACACACTACACTACACCCTTACACATATATATCTCCCTATTAATACACAGTGACACACTACACTACACCCGTACACACACAACTCCCTAATAATATACAGTTACACACTACACTACACCCTTACACACACATACCTCCCTAATATACAGTAACACACTACACTACACCCTTACACACACATACCTCCCAAATAATATACAGTTACACACTACACTACACCCATACACATACTTCCGTAATAATGCACACTAATACACTACACTACACACGTACACATACCTCCCTAATAATAAACAGTCGCACACTACACCACACCCTTACACACACATACTTCCCTTATAACACACACTAACACACTACACTACACCCTTACCCATACCTCTCTAATAACACACAGTGACACAATACACTACACCCTTACAAATACCTCCCTAATAATACACACTAATACACTACACTACACACTTACACATCCCTCCCTAATAATAAACAGTCGCACACTACACCACACCCTTACACACACATACTTCCCTTATAACACACACTAACACACTACACTACACCCTTAAACATACCTCCCTAATAATACACAGTAGCACACTACACCACACCCGTACCAACACATACCACCCCAAAAAAACACAGTAACACACTACACCACACCCGTACATACACATACCACCCCAATAATACACAGTAACACACTTCACTACACCCGTACACACACTTACCACCCTAATAATACACAGTAGCACACTACACCACACCCGTACATACACATACCACCCTGTTAATACACAGTTATACACTACACTACACCCCTACACACACATACCTCCCTAATAATACACAGTAGCACACTACACCACACCCGTACATACACATTCCTCCCTGTTAATACACAGTAACACTACACCTTTACACACACATACCACCCTAATAATACACAGTAGCACACTACACCACCCCCGTACATACACATACCACCCTGTTAATACACAGTTATACATTACACTACACCCCTACACACACATACCTCCCTAATAATACACAGTAGCACACTACACCACACCCGTACATACACATACCACCCCAATAATACACAGTAACACACTACACTACACCCGTACACACACATACCACCCTAATTATACACAGTACCCCTCCCCCCTCCCCCCACACACATACCTCCCTTATTATACCAGTAACACACAACACAACACCACCAAACACATACCTCACTAATAATACACAGTAACACACTACACTACACCCTAAAACATACCTCCCAAATAATACACTGTAACAAACTACACTACACAAATACGTACAGTAACACACTACACTACACCCGTACACACACAACTCCCTAATAATATACAGTTACACACTACACTACACCCATACACATGCCTCCGTAATAATGCACACTAATACACTACACACACTACACTACACACTTACACATACATCCCTAATAATACCAGTAACACACTACACTACACCCTTACACATATATACACACAACTCCCTAATAATATACAGTTACACACTACACTACACCCATACACATACCTCCGTAATAATGCACACTAATACACTACACTACACCCTTACCCATACCTCTCTAATAACACACAGTGACACAATACACTACACCCTTACACATACCTCCCTAATAATACACACTAATACACTACACTACACACTTACACATACATCCCTAATAATACCAGTAACACACTACACTACACCCTTACACATATATATCTCCCTAATAATACACAGTGACACACTACACTATACCCGTACATACACAACTCCCTAATAATATACAGTAACACACTACACTACACCCGTACACACACAACTCCCTAATAATATGCAGTTACACACTACACTACACCCATACACATACCTCCGTAATAATTCACACTAATACACTACACTACACACTTACACATGCATCCCTAATAATACCAGTAACACACTACACTACACCCTTACACATATATATCTCCCTAATAATACACAGTGACACACTACACTACACCCATATACACACATACCTCCCTAATAATAAACAGTCGCACACTACACCACACCCTTACACACACATACTTCCCTCATAACACACACTTACACACTACACTACACCCTTAAACATACCTCCCTAATAATACACAGTGACACACTACATTACACCCTTACACACACATACCTCCCTAATAATACACAGTAACACACTACACCACACCCGTACACACACATACCTCCCTAATAATACACAGTGACACACTACATACACTACACCCTTACACACATTCCTCCCTTATAATACACAGTGACACACCAAACTACACCCATATACACACAAATTCCCTAATAATATACAGTTACAAACTACACTACACCCCAACACACATACTTCAAGTTTCTAGTGTCCCGAGACCAGGTATATTTCCCGAGGCGAAGCCGAGGGAAATAGGCATGGTCAAGTAATAATAATGTTTATTTCAGGAAATAGATCATAGACATCACATGTAACATGACAGTTGACAT